CCATCTGTGCTACTGCCCACCACGGGTATCAAAACCCGGATTCCTGCATTGTAAGTCCGCACACGTACTGCTGTGCCACTGGGGGGGGGAGGGGGGTAAATTATACAATAGGAGATACTGCGACTTAGTACTGATCTGTTTGATATACAAGACTGGGTTACTACAGTTGTATCCAGAGTTTTAAATAATTATCTTATACGTCAGAGTCCACACAGGCTGGTTCAATTACTTTAGAATTGACAAGACGAAATACTTTTGTATATCTCTGTTGTTACAATACAAACTGTGAAACTCACTTTAGATTTGTTTGGTTGTTTGAATTTATGCACAAAGCTACAAAATGGGCTATATGTGCTCAGCCCACCACGGGTATCGAAACTCGGTTTATACCGTTGTAAGTCCGCAGACATAACGCTCACTTTAGATATCGCCAATTATGGCTAAACTGACAATCACACAGTCTAACTTCACTTTTACTTTCACTAAGTTTTTCTTACTTTCACTAACTTACTTATTTGGTTGGACGCTTGTTTGTTTGAAGTTAAGCACAAAGTAACACAATGGGCTACCTATGCTCTGCCCACCACGGGTATCGAAACCAGGTTTCTAGCGTTGAATGTCCGGAGACATAACGCTTTGCCACTGGGAGGCCGGTTGGGCGCGTTTTTATATCTGCCCGACTGAAATCTAGAAAGTTCTACAAACTACGAGTCACTACGATGTAACAATACTCACTTAAAGCAACGAGAAAAATCTAGAAGGTTCGAATAGCATGACGTCATTTCACAACAATTGAACTACGCGACAAATGTTTCGTAAACAGTTACGTAAGCAAACTTTCCATAACTGTCGCTTCTAAAAATAATAAATTTAATACTCGCGTCACTACATCATAACTCCCGTGTTAGGTTTAACTCAAACAGTCGTGCATATTTAACAATGTGCTGTCCGTTTATTGTTGAAAAAAATACAAGAATCGCGGCTTCATAAAACTTGACATGGTATAAGTTCTTTTTAAGGCTGCTAAACATAAAATATTAAATAAACAATTAAATTATAACGTTAAGCTGCCAACGGTCTCCACTTCAAATACTCTATAAGTTTCAATGTCTTCTAGTCATCTCTAGGAGTAATTTACAAGATTGTTGTTTTCAATATGCATAATAATGTTACAAGTCACGAGATGTTACGTTATATTCAATAACTTACTTAACAATATGTCAAGCCAAATTCCAATACAATGACTGTCTAGACATTTATCTCTATTTAATACTTATTTTTATTTTATTTTGATATTTCCAACGATTCACGAATACCTATAGCAGTAACACTGTAACGTTGAGCTAGAATTATAGTTTTATCCCACAAAATTGTTTGTCCTTTGTTTTATACTTTCTCTGCTATAATAATTAACTGAATTTTCAATTTTCTTATTTTTTTACGTTTGTTTTTCTTTGGTGTTATGTACAAGGTTACAGAATAGGCTCTCTGTGATCTTCCCGCCATGGGTATCAAAACTTGAATTTTAGCGACATAAATCCCCTGACTTAATGCTGAGCCATCAGTGAATTGGGTAATGGCTCGGTTTTCCACGCCCTAGTCTATGCGAAAACTGGCTATCTGAGAATCAGTATTGATTTTTTTATGAAACTAAGTTATCCTTTGTTTAACATATTTTCATTTAGATTTTACAGCTCTTAAAGTCTTTAACTCAGGTTTGGCAGAGAGTTTCTTTTTAACTTAGTGTTATTTTTCTTTGTTTCATTTTAACTTTGCGGAGCTGTTTTCTATTTTTTTTAGTTCATATTTCTTCTGAGGTTACAGCGCTCACATTGGACTGGTAAGAAATGTATTTAATTGATATTTTATACTCCTCTTATGAGTAACACAGTCATCGCAATCAGTTAATTGCCCTTGTTTTATTTTGGCGTAATGTGTTTGTCTCTCCCTGTTTTTGTTTGTAAAGATTAGTGTTTTATATTTTTGTTTACTGTCTTTCCCTTTGTCATTACAGTTATAGTAGGAAATGCTGTAAATGAATCAGCTTGAAACCAGATTATCAATTGTTAGTAATATACCTATATATATGCATTAGAATTCAATGAGACGTTAATTAAAAGTATTTACTCTCTGTTAAAATGTATTCAATCTATTTTCAGGTATGTTTTCTGCATGAGCTGGTAATATGCTTTCATTATGATTTATTAGCTTGCCATTAGAGAGCGCTAAAAACAGGAAACTTAATTAGGATGCTCTTTGTCTTTTGACCTATTCAATAAAGCACTACAATTTCAAGAAGGAGGTAACATGTGAGAGCAACGAATGTTATTTATTTCTTCGGCATACATTTTTAAGTGTTTCTAAAAAGAAAGCGAACATTTAAACGACTTATATAAAAATTTATTAACCTGTCGACTTGTTGATATATCATCATTTTTATCTTACAGTGGAATTTTGTAAATAACAAATAAAATCATCATAAGATACTTTTCTCTAATTAATAATTTTACTTTTTTAAACATGTTTTCTTGGAAAGTAACAGAACATTTTTATTGCCAACTCCTTTTAGTAAGATCAAATAGTTGCTGTTTGAAATTTAGAACTTTCGTAGTATGTTTAATGCAAAAGCGCTTTAACCATCACTTAAAGAATCCCTAGTGGTAAGTCTGAAGGCTTATAAAGCCAAAACTCGGTATTCAATACCCGTGGTTGGCACAGCATAGATATCTCATCGTGTAGCCTTGTGCTTAACTCCAAACAAATAAATAAACTATCAATTATAGTAATTCTTATTTCTCGAAGGGTTTATATGTTAGAACTTTAAACTTTCTGTTGAGAAATACATAGATAAAAAAGACTGATCTTTACACACTGTAGTTTATTTTGGGAATTCTGGGTAATCTAGAAAACAATTTCAAGTTACCACAGTTATTAACTTTAAATTCCGAACCGTCATACTAATGATAAAAAAGTTTTCATTCTTGCGACTATACCAGTTTAATAATTAATGTAATTCTTCAAAACAAACATAGACCATGTAAGTAAAACAGTGCACAATACCCTGCTGTTGATTAACCCCCACATCGTACAGTTGTATAGTCCGGTGGAGGTAGTTTGTGTTTAAGCATAAAGCTATTCAATAGGCTATCTGCGATGTTCTCACCACTGTTATCGAAACGCGATTTTTAGTGTGTAAGGCCTCAAGTTTACCGTTGAACTATTGGGAGATTCAATGGAGGCAGAAATAACATTGAGTTATTTGAGGTGACAACTGTGTGCTGTATGTAAGATACGGTTTATAGTTTTTATGAGTAACGAATAATATTTTTATTTGCTCTATCTCATGTTAACAATTAAACTAAGTGTGATTTTGAAACCTAGATTAAAAGAAATATTATTTGTTTTATTTAATCTTTTATAATAAAAAATTATTTGAAAATTGGCAAAACAAAAACGATATCCTAGCAACTGGCTTTTGACTAACTGAAATTAAAGTATAACGACAGTGTTTTTTTATTTTCTATATAAAATTGTTTTAAACTAAGTAATTTTCTTTCTTTTTTGATTTTCTTTTTTTTTTTTTGCAATTTTTCAACACGACCTATTTTAATGTCTCGTCACTAGAGGGGCAAGTCCAGCTTCATTAGTAATCGTTCCAGTGTCTGTATTTGTTGTGGTGATGGCTGTTTGTTGTTAGGCTGTTGAGGGACTGGCATAATTAATATTTTTTTTCAGTGTTTAGGTGATATAATATCTCACATTTGATTTTTTTCTGTACATTTATGCTATAGTACTGTGATGAAATGAGTAACGTTAGAAATACAAATTTAACAAACCCTTCAAATTCAACTTCCAAAAAAAAATCTGGAGGATTGCCTCGTCAAGCAAAATCTCGAAAAGATCATCCAACAGACGTGGAACCGGTGACAGAGGAAGAGCTATTTCAAAAGGAACATATCACTCCTGAAGACGTTCTTAGATTACCGAAAATCACAGAGAGTAAGTTCGATGTTCAATCTCGTTCGAGAATTTAAATCATTATTTATTTTTACATTATTTTACCACACATACTCACTAGCAGTAGCACTAGTAGTAGTAGTGCTAGTAGTATCGAGAAGCAACAACTGTTTCCTGCTTTGTCCTTTTTTAAGAGATATTTTTAATTAGACTGTTAAAACCTTTATTTGTCAGTTTGGGTGAAAACAGATCTTTTGGTATATTACCATTAATACTAAAACCAGTAACATTTTTAGAAGCTTTAATTTTGAAATACAAATAATATTTTTTTGAAATAAACTATAACTGTAAACTATAAGTATACATATATATATATATGCCATAAACTTGTGTTTTTATTTTGTTAAGTTTACTTGTCAATTTTTTTTTATGGTATCAGTGCATATTCAATATTCAGGCAAAACATGGTATATCCACAAACTATACTGAAACTTGTGTAAATATCAATGTTATTAATTTCAATAAATAAAGGAATTAGGAAAAAAACCAGAAGAAGAAAAACACAATATTCCAAAATTAAACATCTTCAAGATCAATAACAATATCAAGCAATAATCAACAATAATTCATTCTCAGTATATATTGTGAACTAACTCGTTTAAGCTCAAGGAAAGGTTTTTATTCAGTGGTTAGACCACTAGGTAACATATCATCCTTCACAAGATTAATATCTGTATGTCACTACCAGGTGAAGCTTGTGTTAGTTTCATAATATAAACATACTCAAATTCAACATGCTCTAGCTAGAAAGTGAGTTAACACTTTAATATAACTAAAGATACATAGTTGAATAATAAATGAATTGTAAAGAAAACCATAACAAAATAAAAGCAGAACTTGCTGTGTCATGATATTACAGGGTATTGTTTTAATTTTCAGTATAATTTTCAAGTTATAAGTTTTTTTTGTGTTTTATATCATTTTATTCATCTACAGCCACCTCTCTTCAACAGAATTGAAATTGTGGTTCAGATTCCAATCCAACTGTTTTCTCTCATTTTTTGTTGTGCTCTTCCTTTTTTTTCTGCTAGTTTCTGTGACCTCTTTTCACACTGGGCAGAGAGTATACTTGGTACAGAAGTGGTGTGGTCTCTCACACATGATTCTCTATTAAGAGGATCATCAGTATAAGGTGTTCTTTGGATGCTTTTGAAGGGTGATTTTTTTTTATCCCTTGCATTGGTCCCTCCACCTCTCCAATATGGGATTCTAACTATCTATGTGAGAGAAGGTAATGTACCATATTGAAAGTTAGAATTTTTCCTATACTGAAAATATATTTCTAATACCTCTCACAAACTTCCCACCCACTGAAAACCAGTGCTTCCTTTTCTGCCTAAACTTGAAAGTGTTATTTTTAATAGAATCAAATAGGGGGAGCTACATGCATCAGGAAGATTGGCGGAAGGTTGTTGCATGAGGATTTGCATGCAAAATGCAGTTGATAACCTCGATAATTGTAGGGTACGTGGGAGTGCAATGCTTGTGGCATGCAAAAAAATGTTTGCATATAGAAGGAAGCACTGAATGAGAATAGCTGTATATATGAGAGGAGGTAGGTATGTACCGGAAATATATTATCAGTGTAGGAAATTATAAGTCCTAAGGACCTTATGGAATAAGGTGAATGTAGTAGCGAGAGGACATATTGCATTCACTTTCAAGTCTTGAACTTTCTAATATATGTAGGAGTTTTATTGCTAATGTTGTGATAGATGGTATCTTCTTTAATATGTTGATGATAAAGATGTTGGTAATAATACTACAGTTGTTTTTTAGGTGGGCCTATTAACCTCTGTAGTAATTATATTACACACAACCCACCTAAAAAACAACTGTAGTGTTAACCTCAATAGTAATTATACTACACACGACCCATCTATAAAACAACTGTAGTGTTAACCTCTATAGTAATTATATTACACACAATCCATCTAGAAAACAACTGTAATATTAACCTCTATAGTGATTATATTACATACATACAGTTGTTTTACTAGGTGGATTGTGTGTAATATAATTACTATAGAGGTTAATACTACAGTTGTTTTCTAGGTGGATTGTGTGTAATATAATTACTATAGAGGTTAATATACAGTTGTTTTCTAGGTGGATTGTGTGTAATATAATTATTATAGAGGTTAACACTACAGTTGTTTTCTAGGTGGATTGTGTGTAATATAATTACTATAGAGGTTAATCCTACAGTTGTTTTCTAGGTGGATTGTGTGTAATATAATTACTATAGAGGTTAATACTACAGTTGTTTACTAGGTGGATTGTGTGTAATATAATTACTATAGAGGTTAATACTACAGTTGTTTTCTAGGTGGATTGTGTGTAATATAATTACTATAGAGGTTAATACTACAGTTGTTTTCTAGGTGGATTGTATGTCATATAATTACTATAGAGGTTAATCCTACAGTTGTTTACTAGGCGGGTTGCGTGTAATATAATTACTATAGAGGTTAATCCTACAGTTGTTTACTAGGTGGGTTGTGTGTAATATAATTACTGTAGAGGTTAATAGTACAGTTGTTTTCTAGGTGGATTGTGTGTAATATAATTACTATAGAGGTTAATCCTACAGTTGTTTACTAGGTGGATTGTGTGTAAATTAAATTATTATAGAGGTTAACACTACAGTTGTTTTCTAGGCGGGTTGCGTGTAATACAATTACTGTAGAGGTTAATAGTACAGTTGTTTTATAGGTGGATTGTGTGTAATATAATTACCACAGAGGTCTGGGAAGATATGATATACATTTTTATATACTTAAACAAGTGTAGAAAAGTTCAACAGCTGTTATAAAATGTTTCATTTAGGAAGTAACATTGAGTAATTTTCTTAAATTACATTTTTTAAATTTGTATCTTTTTAGTTTAATTTGAGAACAAAACTTTTACCATTATGTTGCATACTATTCTGCTGTCTACAAGATATTGCAGAATAAAATGATTTGGAAATGATTGTTGATTGGGATATAACAAAGTGTATGATAATCAAACTGGTGTATTTATGTGTTTTAATTATTCAATTAAAGTGTATAATATTGTTATAAAGGGCAAATAGGTTGCAAGAATGTATGTAACTAAACTCATGTTTGATTGAACCTATTTTCAATGAACAGGTTATAATAGTATGTTGAAGTTTCATCTCTTTTCAATGAGATACACTGAATAATCAGTCTGGAGAAAGCTTAGATAAAGAGTAGTGCAAGTATTTAGAGCAACAAATGTACATGCATGAAGTGAGACTGAAAAATGATGCTAACTGATTTTCTTGACATAAAAGAGTTCAAAGGTGATGCTAGTAAGATGGTATAAATGTTGGGGTTTCAAGCTGGCTGAGGCAAGTATGAGCTATTGGTTTTTAAGGTTATATATGAAAACATGAATCTGAGAAATACGTTGCAATAATACATACAAGTGTGACACATGATAAAACTACTGCAGACTTTTTTTTTTAAATTTCCACAGAGATAAGCACTTGATAACATTCTAAGAACAGCGTAACTAACTGTTATTATTAAAAAAGAACTTATTCACATGTATGATGAATTTTAATTACATGTACCTTAAAGGCTTTTTTTTTAAACATATTTGTTCTTTTGTATTGATCCAGTCAACTGTATAAATGGAATATACATGTACACATAGTGCGTAATGTTGGTGGAGGAAAAAAGCTGAACAAAGGATTTTTAAGGTGTTTCACCACTAAATAATTATAGCATAGTTTTTAAATACTTTTACATCACAATGTTTTCATTTATGTGTACGTGCTCTGTGTTTGTATCCAAAAATAATATGTATTAATAATTTAAATATGGCTGAAACATAATCCAGTTTAACTGATAATGTACTTATTAATTATTAAGATTATTTAAAACTCTGAAAAACATTTCATGACTGATTACAGAATTGGATTTTGGTATTTTTTGAGCTTATCCTGATAATGAAAACAACATTCATATCAATTTCATATCCCCCACTCAGTATGAAGGTGTAGACTTAAAGAATAGGTTTATATATATGTATGACTCTTAATGAACCAGCTGGACTCATTTTGTAATTTTGATTATACTGTTTCACTGCTACAATAGTAATGACATTGAGATACATATTTGGTTCTTTTTGTTATCAGCCATGACATGTGTGTTAATATGCTGTGCGTTTATTTTGTTTTATGAAAATAGTTTATGGAAATCCTCTTTTAATTATTATAGAAAAATATTTTGAATTGTCTCATATATTAGTTTTTCTGTTTGTTCACTGAATTCATACCAGCACATGCAGTAAATATTGCTTTGATTTTATCCAAACATATTAACTTGCTAGCCCACTTATGATTTCTATTTTCAAACATCAACTCTGTTTTTCCATTAAGAGAATAAGGTTAAAAGGCTTAAAACTGTGATCTTTTAGAAGTATTCTTATGCAGGCTCCACTACTTTAGCATCTACTTTTGGTATGAAGTGTTAATGAGGTAGCTGTACTTCTGGGGCAGTTCTAGGCTTTGCCAAAAATGGATTTTGCAGTTTGTTACTTTTGTTGGCAAATAAATTTAGCATCTAGTAATTTTTGTGCTAACATTTGATGCTAGTAAAAACTTGAACATTAAATTTCATTCGCATTGTAGCCACAACATGGTGTCTGTTTACTATTTCCTGACTGTTACTTTCTATCCATGACTTTGGCTGCCCAGGAGGGTAATTCCGCTTTCACTCTCAGTTTCCTCCTCCCCAGCTCCCATCTTTATGTCTGTTCAGATCCTGATTGCCTCCTATGCCTGGGGAGGGCACTCCAGTGGTATATGACATGCATTTCTCCCTTCCATGGTTCCTGGGTTTGTTTATTCATTGGAATCCTGCTTTTTCACATGATCTTTCTCCCATTACCCTTACAGATTGGATTCGCCTAATGTATTCTTCCCTTTCTCCAGATATTGTTGCCTTTTTTGTGTGTCTTTTTCCCATCAAATCTGTCACCTGACCATGTCTCTGCTTCCCTATTTCCAATCTTCCTTTGGAGAGCATCATCAGTGCAGGTATGTGGACTACCCACATACTTTTACATCTCACTACCCACATCACGGGCCATTTCATGCTCTGTAGGTTTCTGTTTACCTCCAGTTGCCATTTTACACATTTCTTGTTTTATGTGACTGGTAAGTACTCAGTTTCTTTTCCTTTATATGGGTCTCTTACTCATACATAATAAATCCTGCTCTGTGGCAAGTGGTGCCTGACCAGGTATACTTTGTATCAGATCCGTACTATATGTCCTCTGACCATGCTAGTTGATTATAAGATTGGGGCACTTCCTACTGCAGACCTGATGTATAATTTCATCCAATGGTCATCTATGCATCAATATTATACTTGAAACAATATAACATGCCACAGGATCGTGTTACCCACACTGTTCAAATGGGGTGTTCTGTAAGAACAATTGTAGATATATCATGGTCTTTTGCTTCATAAATATGTTCATCCCAGATCATACACTCATGGACTTACATGGGTAAAGCAGACAGGGATTACTGCCCATCAATGATTCCCCATGGCATTGAGGCTCTTCTTACTATGGACCTGATGTACAATTCCAGTCGCTGCCAGGTGTTGGTTGATCAACTCTATCAGCATGGTAATTCTGCTTTTCAAAATAAGGTATCACTGTCATATTGCACTGTTTCTGGTGCTACGGTCCTCTGAATTCTCCAACTCATTTTTCCTAGTTGGAGTATGGCAGTCTTTATCACTTACCCATTCCTAACCACTGGGGTGGTGGACCATGGAGGCCAGTCCTCCTGAGTGAAGCACAATACCACTCAGTTGAGAGTAGGGCAGTGGCATTCTGTTGGTGTTGATGGCGTGATACCCTTTGTACCACAGATCTGATATACAGTTCCAGATGCTACCAGGTGTTTGTTGTAACACTCCACCATATCTATATAGATATTGCAGTTTCCCTCTCTGGCTGAAATATTCCTCCTTCCTACCATCCTCTTGATGTTGGTTCCTGGTTGGAGACAGTCCAGCCACGTAAGTCCTCTCACGTGTTTGGCTGGTTCCCTTCTCCTAGTGTGGATTGGATGATAAATTTCTAATGCCACCAGATTTTGGACTGTAGATGTTCCCCCATTTGATGTCCCTCTTCATCTTCCTGCCATCTGCTGGATGTTGGTTCTTGGTGGATTTGGTTTTATTTCAAGTTGGATGAAACACATGATTACCTGCACATGTAAGGCTGGCTTTCCTTTTCCTACTATGGATTGGACGTAACACACGTAACACCAGATTATGGACCAGAGATGAATTTCCCCTGAGCTCTCCCTGCTTTCTACCATCTGTTGGATGTCGATTCCTGGTGGATCCAGTGTTTGAAGTGTGCACATGTAGAGTCAAGGTATTGGTATGGATGCTTGTATTCCCTCCCAGTACCCGTTTGTGGGAAGAAAGTTAGAGGACCCTCTTCAAACAGCAGATCTGATATACCATTCCAGTTGCCACCAGGTGTTGGTTTAAGTTGAACTCCCATTTATGGTCTCTTTCACCCTAGCCACTTAACACCTAGGGTTCCCTTTACTGTTGAAAGGTAAGATATCATATTGCAAGTTAACATTTTCCTAAATGGAAAATGTATTTCCAAATAGATACTTAACTCTTCTCACGTTTCCTACCCATCATCCCCACTTCATTAAGATTTTAGGGATCCTTCATGTTTCTGCCCTTTTAGTTTTGGCAACACATTCCTATAGGGCAAAGAGTTTACTTGGCTCAGATATGGTGTGGTCTCCCACTGGTGTGATGTTTTTTATTCCTTACCACACCTCATGATCTTTCTTTGGGTGCTTTCTAAAGGAGGATAATATTCTCACTGGCCCTCCACCAGTTCAATGTAGGATTCTAGGTTTTTATGAGAAAAGGTAAGATATCATATTGCAAGTTAACATTTCCCTAAATGGAAGATGTATTTCCGAATAGATATTTAACTCTTCTTACATTTCCCACCCATCATCCCTACTTCCGGTGTATTGGTTGACTTGGTCATGGCCAATCTTGAAGTGATTAACAGGTGCATTATTAGAGAGGGTAGTGTTGTACTGCTATTGGTGGAGGGTTGCTGCATGATCATTTGCATGTAGGTATGCAGAAATAAGTGGTAGTTACAAGGCTAGTGGTGAGTAAAAAATTTGTGCCAACAGAGGGCAGTATGAATAAAGAAAGCTTTTTGTGAGGGGAGGTAAGTATCTATTTAGAAATATATTTCCAGTTTAGGAAAATGTTAACATTCGCATTCTCATGTTTTAATTTTGTTAATAATGTGTTTCCAACTTGAGGATTTCTTGTTTAGGGAGAGATTTGAAGAACATTGTTTACTTGTATCATTTTATAGTTACCATTCTGCACGATAATGGTATTACATGTAGTTGTCTGTGACTACAGTTCTTGAATCGCTACTCTTGTTCTTTGTAAATTTGCACTCTTAAAGTGTGGACAGATCTCTTTTGTGCTCCTGCACTATTCTTTTTATGTTTTATATCACTGTAAGTTTTAAATCATGGGCTGTTCATTAAGGTGAGCTCACTTAAATTGGAATAACAAGCTTTGGAAAGTAAATAATTTCTCATCTGGTCTAAAATGGAACATTCACAAATGTTGGAATGGGTTGACATGTTTACCAATTTGATTTAACACTTAGGATTCATATGGTTTACACAGGCCTGAAAGACTCCTTAAATTTTAGCTGGGTTCTTGAAAACTTCTTGAATTTAAAAGTGGCATTGAACAATTAAAAAGCTGATAAATTTTACTTGAAAGTTATTTTCTTTACCTGTTTGATTAGTTTTTACAAAAAAAAACTTTAATGAAAACAAATGTTACAAGGATAAATTACCATGGCAAAACTGGTAGGTAGCACAGGTTGTCATCCAGAATACTTTGCATTCTATCACTATGCATGCATTTTCATAGCAGAGTAAGCAAAGTTTTGCTCATATTAGAGTTAGTATGTTAAGAGAGAGTTAGAGTGTGATTTCTTAATCATATGTAGTTATATGTGGTAAAAAATATGAAATAGTCACAGGAACTACCACTTAAAGTTGAAAAACATTTCCAGAGATCTATTTGAACCATAATTCACCAATGAATGGGTTCAGAGATCTATAGAAAACTGTGATTATGACACCCTTGCTCATCTTCAGTTCTAAATGTCTTTATCAACAAAGATGCTTTAGAATATTTTTTTTACAAATTAATCTTGAAAGACATATACAATATGTATACATGCAAGTTGCTATATTTTTAAAGTGACCAGATTTTCTGGAGTCTAAAATGGGACAACCTAACTTACGAATAAAAAATTGGTTGCATTTAAAAAAAATTAAAACTTCTTTTCATAAAAAATGCATACTATCCTTTTATTATACTTTTCATTAACAAATCATGTGTGTATTATAGAAACATACAATAGATAAGAATGACATTCATGAAAAATACATACCATGTAATCATTACAGATCTTATTTGAGGATATTTTCTTAAACAACCTAAGATTTTCTTTGGCAAATCATGTGTGTATTATAGAAACATACAATAGATAAGAATGACATTCATGAAAAATACATACCATGTAATCATTACAGATCTTATTTGAGGATATTTTCTTAAACAACCTAAGATTTTCTTTAACAAATCATGTGTGTATTATAGAAACATACAATAGATAAGAATGATATTCATGAAAAATACATACCATGTAATCATTACAGATCTTATTTGAGGATATTTTCTTAAACAACCTAAGATTTTCTTTAACAAATCATGTGTGTATTATAGAAACATACAATAGATAAGAATGACATTCATGAAAAATACATACCATGTAATCATTACAGATCTTATTTGAGGATATTTTCTTAAACAATCTAAGATTTTCTTTGGCAAGCTGCAGTAGAAAAAATTTATAAAGTTGTCAGTTGTATACAATAAATGATCATATTTTCCACAGTTATAATTAACCTAGACATGAGAATTATTTAACAAAATTGTCTATTTTTTATAGATATTGATATAATGATAGTGTGTCTATAAGTGAAATGTTACGGTAATAACTGTATATAGACCGATATAAGCTGCAACAATCGAGACATAACAGAGCTGAAAGTAAATTGTCAAAGATGTTTTGGACATTCAGTGCATATCCTGAAATATAGCGAACTGATTTCATATTTTGTCAGTTATAACAATATTACTGTGTACTGAACACCGATATATGACATTTCAAAGATTTCAAAGTATAAATGTCAATGGCTAACACTAACGGTGTTTTAGGAGACAATAAATAAGTTAATTTTATATTACCACATTCTCAATAAGTATATGCATATCTATGTATTTGAACATTAATGCATGAAAATGAAGGATATTATATGACGACAGGACAAATCTATCTTATGTGCAGTCATAGTATGGTAGTACTTACTGGTATTTTTGTGTCCTCGAAAATAGGACTGTCCCGGTGAAATCGGGAAGTCTGGTCATGTTATATATTTTAGACATGTTAATATATAGTTACACTGCATGTATAGTAAGATACAATGTATTTCTTTACATTAGTTCTTTACTTATTTATACTGCATGTATCTTACATTAGCTCTTTACTTATTTATTTTTTGTAGATTATCTCTGCTCTCCAGAAGCCAATGTTTATGATATTGACTTCATCAGGTTCAAAATAAGAGATATGGAAACAGGGACAGTACTGTTTGAGATAGCTAAGCCTCCTGCACCTGGTGAGACTTAAATGCTAATTTTGAATTCATTGTTTCAGCTGAAGTTAGTGATTACAAAAATTATTATTTTTTCAATTTTAAGTATTACCTTATATATTTTACTACAGTTTTTGATCATAAATTGCTTTAAGAATGTCTATTAAATAAATGTGTTAGAGCATAACCATGTAATCTCAATTTTGCAGAAACTATGAACTTTTACTGTGAGTTTCTCCAAAAATAAAATGTTTTGAAATTTTTTCAATATATAATTGTGTTCATTTTTTTCAATGTTTTATGTGACTTATTTTATTTGGAATTATTTTGTATTTTACTTGTATATGTACATGTGTGTAGTGAATATTTTTAACCTATTCTAAAATTGTTGCTTTTACAGTGGATGAAGAGGAAGGGGAAGAAGGAGATTTAGATCAAGAAGAAACTGACCCCAATGCTGGCCGATTTGTTCGATATCAATTTACCCCACAGTTCTTGAAACTTAAAACAGTAGGAGCTACGTAAGTACTTTAAACGTTGGATAATTAAATTTTTGTCTGTATATACATGTATTAGTTTAACTGTAATTTGTAATAAAGAAAAATTAAATGACAGACTATCTGTACCGTGTGTGTGTGCAATATAACCTTGAATTTACAGTCTGTACAAACGTGTTTTAAACTTCATAAATTTCATTCAGCAGAGTGGTAGAATGTATGTTATTTGGGAATAAACTTTACATTAATTTTTTTTTGTAAATGTGAAAAGTCTCTGAATATACAATTTGATATACTTCATTGGTAACACTCAGAATACTGAGTGAAAATATTGTTTATATCTCATTTATAAGGATGCAATAGCTTACATTTGATAATTTATTTAAAACAGAAATTTCAGAAACACTACTCACCTCTCCGCACAAGGAATAGATGTTGCTTGTCACAGTGCTATGAAGATTTTCTTCTCGTACCACAAGCCTTGGAGGAAGCTCCCACCGCTACATGTGTATTTTGTTGTCATCATAAGATTATAATCCTTCATCAGTAGGAGGGTTTGATACATCCTCCATGTGCAGTAATCCTCATGATCGCTGACATATGAACACAGGCTCATTCTTTTGTTGGTGCTCCTTTTCTTTTGATGTGTTATTTTATTTTTAGAATTACATGTATGTTTGTGCTTATTATTTTAAACTTTCATTACCATTTATAGTGTAGTTTTTCTTTCCTTAATTTTTTTGATTATGTTCAGTTTTTTTTTCAGTTAGAGCCTCGATTTGAATTATTGTCAATTTGGTTTTTCTTTTTGGTCTCATGTCTTGTTGTCTGTGTTAAGGTTTTTTTCGCAGTAATAGTTCCTATTCTTTTACCCAGCATACAGGTTTTGTCAAGTAATCTTTGAAGTTGTTAGTAGACTTGTGCATCGTCAGTGTACTAGACTTATTTTATTTCTAACTAGCAGAGGTAGAAAATTGAAAAAGACCTTCCTGGATTCATGTTTACAGATTTATGGCATCATCCAAGGTTTTGGCACTCTGAAAGTCAGTGATATTAACACCATTGTTTACCAGGTGGTTGCTTCCACTCTGATCTCAGATCCATGATTCCTGACCTCCTGCTACTGTTACGTCAGCTTAGTCTGACTCATCTTGCAAAGTGCTTCACCACTGTTGTTTCCATGCCTGCTTTTGTAACTAGTTCCCTGTTCACAATGAGTATTAGGTAGTCCTACCTTTGTCCTTAACTATTTGTATTACACACTTATTTTTTGCTGAATCCTGGGCTTCCTTGTTGCATGAACCTTCATCTATTACTGAACTGCTTCACTACTTATCAAGCTTCATCTTCATTTAGTGACTTTACATCACATCTCTGTCACCTTTACTGAAGCAACTTATATATATACATATTTTTATGCCTTGCCTTCTATTTTCTGCATTTTTTGTCCCAATTCACTGAGTTTTTGTTTCTGGGATGTACTTCATCAGATTTCCTTACTTTCTGTCATTTGCATCCCTTAATCTTCTCTCCAGAACCTTTTCTGTCTTGCATATTTTCTTTGTGATATGGTTTTTTGGTGGTATTTCATATACCTTAACATCTTGAGCTGATGTAGGTCATCAGGGGTCACTTCTGGTGACTCTGGTTTCTTGCCTTTGGGAACAGAGAGCCCCTCCATGTTTTTCATCATGTATAGTCTTGTGGGGTCACTGCCTCTACTGTTCTTGTCCTCTCTATACTTTTCAAGGCCCCTTACCCTCTTAAGGGGTTGACCATTGTGGGTCTTGGAGGCAATTTATTTCTGGAGCCACCCTTTGGCTCCGTTCTAGTGGGAACTCTGCTCTCCCACTTTGTAATCCTGTGGATTCTCTCTGCTGTTGAATTGCTCAAGTCTTTCTCAGGGTTCTTTTCCTGTCCTTCTACTCTCCTTCTTACCTGTTTCAAATGTTGTGGGACAGTTTCATAACCTTCACTCTGAGATTTTACTCCTGTCTTTTAGTTGTTCCCACACAGACAGGATGTTGGCAGATAGTCATCAGTCTGTCCCACTTGAACCATCTTTTCTTGGTTTCTGATGGGCAATTTTCTCATTCTGTAGTGGATAACCTGGTTTGAAGACTCAGATGCTTTTTCCACATCCCGATTTCTTCACACACCTTTTGCTTCCTTTGGTCCATCCTTCCCTTTAAGTTGGCTGTGGTTCCATTTTATTCTCTTTGGGTTCAGTGGGCCTTTGCTTGGAGGTTAAGTTCCTGAGGTTTATTATTAAACTAGACTATGGACATTTGGCCTCTCTTTGTCCATCCTAATGTGTTTTTTCTTTGTAGTGGCCTTCATTCTCTTTCAATATTTGTTTCCTTTAGGGCGACTGATATGGCTATTCATTTCCATCTCATCATCACCCTTTATCTCATTCATTTAGGGGTCTTTCTCACTTAATTTGCAAGGGAGGCTCAACATACTTCTTTATGTCTTTAAGATGTGAAGCAATTGATACCAAGGCTCGCATGTCTCCTTAATTTTCCGACACAGTTCATTACCTCTTCTCATATAAATAGCTATTCTCGTTCAGTGCTGCCCTCTATATGCAAAAATGTTTTTTACGTATTCCACAAGCCTTTTACCTTCCCTCCATTGGAACTGACTGATTCCAATGCATTTCTCCTGCAAATTATCATGCAACAATCTTCCACCAATAAGAGTGCGACACACTCTCATTACATATGTGACTCCCTCTATTCAATTCTACCTAACAATCACTTCTCATTTGGCAGTGCTTGTGTTCAGACATTTTGTGCTTGTTGTGTGTTTCACATTCATAGATTTAATAGTTTTAATTCTGAAGTGGATTTCTTTATTAATAATTTATGGTTATATTGCTGATGCCTTTTACTTTCAATTCATTATCAAGTTTTTATTTTTTTTTCTCGCACATTTGCATTTGTCTATCAAACATTTTTGTTTGATTCATAATTTGAAATGAATTCTGAGGTTAGTGTTTTCACTTCAGGAATTACACCTCCTACAAGCAACCTTTCACAGGCAGCAGGTGGGGATGAACTGTCATTGGATTTATCAGTTATTATATACTGAGAGATTAATCATTATATGGGTCAGCTACCTTCTTCTGAACTTGCCCCACTTCCTCCTGAATAAGCCGAACTTGTACGAGCCGATTAAGATTTTGATAGCCTTTTTCTTCCACCAGATTTTGCCATGTTTTCCTATGCCCCACTTGCGGAGTCAGCTAGGCCTAATACGGCATTTTTAGACATGATTTCTCTGGTATGTGATGTTTTATCCATTTCCCAGATTTCCTATGATTCCCGTCCTTCATTGTTACATGATAGTTCTTCCTCTTCTTATTTAGTTTTCCCACCCTCCCCAGATATTAGTGTTCATGCTGAGCATTTTGCTTCACAATTGGTTGAGGGTGCCAGGATTTCCCCTTCACATGAGCTATGGATCAGTTTGCTTTGGCTTACCATCAAGCAGACTGTCCAGCAGTTGAGGTCTATTTTACCTGTTTAAGGGGGTGGTCCCTGATTTTTTTATATGCTTAACCCATGCCCAGTTTTCATGCCTTCCTCTTACCCTTATTTCACTACTGTGTTATTTATCTACCATCCATCTCCTGTCCGAGGGATAGCCTCTCCCTTATTACCTCCACATTGGCTCGTTCATTGTCTTCAGCTCTTGTTTTACACATGTACGTTGTCTGTTGTTGGGATCTTCTGGGTCGTGATGTGGCCTTGTCCTAGGTTCATTTGTTGCCCATTTATCTCATGGATTTACGTATGGCCCCTTTTCTTCAGTGTATTTTTTTTAACCATGTGCCCGAGACTTTGGAACCATGTGTGGAATTCGTGTGTTAACACTCTACCCTTTTCTCTTTGGTAGCTTGTTTGTCGCAGTTGGAACCACGTCAAGTCCCTATTTCTGTTTCCCATCCTAGTCCTTCTCAGTCCTTACCTGTTACTTCTTCTAGGGTTTCCTTATCTTGTCATTTTATTTGGCATAGATGGGCACGACACCAACAGTACCAGTGACTACAGGTTTGGTGGGAGTTCAATTGTGCACATTTGTTCCCCTTTGGCAATCTTCATATTCATGATATTCATATCATTGCGTGTCATGTTCTGGGTGCTTTCAATCTTGTTGTGGATTGTCTTTCCTGTCCAGACAAAATCTATCCGACAGAGTGGTTTCTTGATCCTCTTGTTTTCCAGTGGCTTTGCCTTCAGTGGGGTACTCCTCACATAGATGCCTTTTCCACATCCCTCAACTACAAGTTACCTCTGTTTTGGTCTCCAGTCCATCATCCTCTAGCTCTGGCTATTGATGCTTTCAGTCAGGATTGGACCAATACCTATATATTTGTCCTCCCATTTGACTTTTTCATTGGGTGATATTGATCATCCATACCACTCCATGTCAAGTCCTTCTGGTTTCTGCAGCTTATACAGCTCCAACTTACCTCTCCACTACCACTTCTTCTGTCTCCCTCCCTTCTTTGTCAACCTCAGTAATTGATGCTTCATTCAGGTCTTCCTGTCCTCCATCTTCATTCTTAGTTTTTATCCAGTCCTTGGCAAGGTCATCAGGCTTGTCCTGACAAGTAGCTTTGTTTCTGGCTTATTCCATTCAACCTTCCTCCATGGACGTTTATCAGCATAAATGAAACATTTTCTGCTGTTGGTTTCTGGGCCAAGGGTTTTCAGCTGACTGGCACGCTGTTCCTTGTATTGCAGATTTTCTTACTTGGTTTTTTGATCAGAGGTCTTCTGTCTCCTTGAGCTCAAGTTATTGGGCAGTCTTGTCCAACACCTTTCATTTTTCCTGGTAATGTATTGTATTTACCTCTCTTATGTTTTCCTTGTTGGTGCATTCCTTCTGGACTGGGATGTTAATGTGGTCTTTCACTGCCTCATTTTCCTCCATTTGAACCACTTTCCACATGCTCATTGTTTCACTTTTACTTTAAGACTTATTTCCTTCTCTTAGCCTGTGGACATTAGTGGTCTACTTTATTTGCCATCAGTTGTTATCATCCTACATATATTCTCCTTCATACAGATAATTTTTTCCTCCACAAAACTTCTGTGGCTAGGGAGAGTAACTCCACATTTTGTCAATTTCCCTTTCTTCCATTTCCAATCTTTATCCTTGGCCCCTGATCCGGATAGATTTCTATATCCTGTACATGCTCTTTGCTGTTATATTGCCTGCATGGCTTCCTTCCGTGATGCCCATTCCTGCCTCTTTACCTCTTGGCAACCATCCTCTGTTCATGATCTTTCTCCTTCCACCCTCACCAATTGGATTTGGCTTTTGATTCGATTGGCTTATCCCTCTCTATCATCTTCCTCCCATACTTTGTTCCAGGTGTCTTCTCACCAAATTCGCCACTTTTACTTTTCTTTGGCATTTCATCTTCATCGTTCTTTGGAGGAAATTCTTCACTCAAGCATGTGGACTACTCCTAATATGTTTGTCTCTCACTATTCTATCAGGCTATCATATTCCACCTGTAGCCATTCTTCAGACTTAAGTGCAACTTTGACTGGGTAAGTTATTTTTTATTCTTCTTTATTTTAATTTCAGGGGCCTTATTTCCATTTTTATTATTATTCCTCATCATTTGGATCCTGCTCTATAGTGAGTGGTGCCTGACCAGGTATTCTTTAACCATTCTAATCCACACTGTCAAGTCAGGTTGTTTGCATATTATAATTACATGGCCATGCAATGCACACTGCTGAGATGGGATGTTCCACAAGATCACTGGTAGGTTTATCCTCATGATAAAGTTGCTTCATAAGTTTGCCTGTCTAGGACCGTACCCACCCATTGACTACATGGGTAATGCAGAAAGAGATAGGTGCGCATCCCTGCCATTCCTTGTATTTAATAAATTGGTATGGCCTGCTTTTAAAAATAGGGTTACGTGGTCACCCATTGCACTTTCTCAGGTGTTGACATTCCTCTATACTCTCCACCGTGTTTTATTCCCCTTTTATTCTAGTGGATTTAGAGAGTCCTTACCACTTTCCAGTTCCAAGCCACTGGGGTGGTGGACTGTGGAGGCATCCTCCTGAATGTGATAATGAAATATAAACAGAATATAAAAATGATTATAAAACCATTCAGTTGAGAGTAGGGCAATGGTGTTCTGCTGGTGTAGATGACGTGATATCCTCCAATATGAAACATAAAAAAACAAGGGAGTTACGTCAAAATTGCAGTTCGTCCCTTCAATTTGGATCCCTCATCCTACCTCCGTGTGGAAGTTGGTTCCCAGTGCCTAGGTTTTGGATTTAGAGTAGAACCAATCAACACAAGTCCTCACACATGTATTATGGATGTCTGTATTCCTCCCTCAATTATACTCCATCAGTGTTGTGAGTCACGATGGAGGTACTGAGGATTGTTATGGGTCTTTCCCTTCTGCTATCCCTCGATGTATCTTACATTGCTCTTGGGTTGGTTCTAGTCAGTTTCACTTTTGAGGAAGTTGATTTATATCATGTAGACATCTTTTCAATACCGGATGTTGTGTTCCTGGATTGATATATGAATTTATCTTATTCACGTGTACACTGTTCAGGAGTTGGGAGGGAGAAGGTTCTAGATTCCCTCTAGTCTCTTGAACTTGAGGTGAAGATAGTATAATATTCTATCCTACCCCTGCCAAATGGCTGGGTTTTTGATTGTAGTTGACTTGCCATCGGTATGATCTTCTTTCTTACCCTTCACATAGATGTCGGTTCCATGTGGCCTGGGTTTTTGGATTGTTGTTGACTTGTCGGTGGTATGATGTTCTTTCCTACTCCCCACATGAATGTTGGTATCTGGTGGCTGCGTTTTGGATTGTAATTGACTTACTGACGGTATGATCCTCATCCTACTCCCATGTGGATGTCGGTTCCCAGCATTATGGGTTTTAAATGTAGTTGACTTGCTGTGTACGGTCTGTCATGTCCTAGCCACTCTACACCTAGGGGCAGATCCATTGTTTTACCCACGTTTATATTTTATGGGATTGAGTTTCATAAATATTACATGGCTCAGATTACTATCCAGCCATAGTTCTCTCCCACTTGGATGCTCCTCTGTTTTTCCACCCATATATGTGACACTTTTCTCAGATGGGCAAAGAGTATACCTGGTTCAGAAGTGGTGCGGTCTCCGACATCAGATCTTCTGATCTGACTCTTTCATCTCAAGGAGAGTCCTTCGGACACTTTCGAAGGATGCTTCTTTTGTTCCCTCACACAAGTCCTTCCACTTATTCAATATGGGATTCTAACTATTTATATGAGTGGAGGTAATGTACAGTTTCAGAAGTTATGATTTTCTTATACTGAAAATGTATTTCCGATTAGTACTTACCTCCTCTCAAACTTCCCATCCTTCCTCCCCACTGAACACTGGTGCTTCCAATTTCTGCCCAAACTCGAAGTGATAGTTAGGTAGAATTGAATAGAGGGAGTTACATGCATAATGAGAGTGTGTTGCACTCTTATTGGTGGAGGATTGTTGCATGATGATTTGCATGAGAGACACATTGGAATCAGTCAATTTCAATGGAGGGGGGAGTTAAAAGGCTTGGGCATGCATAAAAATTTGTTTTTGCATATAGAGGGCAGCACTGAATGAGAATAGCTATTTATGTGAGAAGAGATAAGTACGGATCGGAAATACATTTTCAGTATAGGAAAATTATAACTTTTGCATGAGAGGATTTGTCTCTTTTGGGGACTCTCTACTCTTGAGTCCCTTGTTTTTATTGAATGTGCCCAGATGTGTTCCCTTCAGTGGTTTATCAATACAGGTATTTCCAAGGATCTACTGTGTTCTTTTTCCCAGTCTCTATTATGGTGGCTCAATCAATCCCACATGACCCTGGTAATCTCTTTTTCCCCATCTTACCCAGATTTGTATCTGTTCAGAGCCCTTCAGGCTCAATAGTAAGTCTATGGAAACATTTCAGTCACATATGCAAGTTTCTATATCCATGGTGAATGCAACTAAAGTGGTACTTTGTGTTGTTTTACACTTGACAATAACCAATTCTATAAACAAACTTTTCCACCAAAACCTTGTTTCAGGTGGGTTGCATTTCTTGACTCCTGATGCATTTCCAGCATCTGGTCTCCAGAGAAGAGGCTCCTCTATCTTTACATCCTCATATTTTTTTGCCATGGGATTCTTCTTCTTCTTCTAGTAGCTTATTGTCTTCCATTTTGCCCATTTGTGTTGTAAACCTTATCCAGCTAGTTTATTTCTCTGTGGACATAGACCCTTCTCTTTTTTTTCATTCCTCCTCCCATAAGTTTGTCATCTCATGGCTTCTCTTGCCTCTAGCCATCAACACCCCTTGTATGAGATCTAGGGCCCTGCATGGCCAGGTGGTTAGGGTGCTTGACTAACAATTTGAGGGTTGTGGGTTTGGATCTCCGAATCAAACATGCTCTCTCTTCCAGCTGTGGGGCCGTTACAATGTGACGGTCAATCCTACTATTCTTTGGTAAAAGAGTAGCCCAAGAGTTGGCAGTGGGTGGTGAAAATTAGCTACCTCTAGTTTTTCACTGCTAAATTAGGGATGGCTAGTGCAGATAGCCCTCATGTAGTTTTGAGCAAAATTCAAAACCAAACAAACTAAACGAGATCTAGTAGGTGCTGATATAGATGACCACCAACACCTACCCTGGCTTTCTTTTCCCTCCAATCACCATTCTCCATTCTTCACAGCAGCTTTCTTGTGGTGAGTTTCCACATTTTCTTCCAGGTTTATCAACCACTTTATTCAATATTTATATTATGGAAATGATGGGACTTACTGAGTGGCCAGTGTTGCCTCTCAGCAAAACCACTTTATTCAATATTTATATTATGGAGATGATGGGACTTACCGAGTGGCCAATGTTGCCTCACAGTACAACCACTTTATTCAATATCTATATTATGGAGATGATGGGACTTACCAAGTGGCCATTGTTGCCTCACAGCACAACCACTTTATTCAATATCTATATTATGGAGATGATGGGACTTACCGAGTGGCCAATGTTGCATCACAGCACAACCACTTTATTCAGTATCTATATCATGGAGATGATGGGACTTACCGAGTGGCCAATGTTGCCTCACAACACAACCACTTTATTCAATATTTATATTATGGAGATGACGGGACTTACCCAGTGGCCATTGTTGCCTCACAGCACAACCACTTTATTCAATATCTATATTATGGAGATGATGGGATTTACACTGATTATAGCTGTTTGTTGTGTATAGAGGTGAGTAGCATTTCTGAAGTTAACCCTTTTTCTTTCCTGAAAACGTATTTCAGATAGATACTCGGCTCTCTGCACAACCTCCCAACCCTTCTTCTTCACTTCTGGTGCTTTTGTCTCATCAGGAATTGCATTATTCAAATGCTGGTGCTCATGGGGATTACAATGTATAGAGGATATGTCCCCCTCCTCTTCTTGGGGCACTAACATTTAATGATAATTATATCTTAGTTTGGTGCAATACATACTAATACTTGTAGAGGAGGAAGCTTCGTTCACAGTTTGTGGCATGTGCAAAAACTCTTCAGTGCAGTATCTGAAGTAATAATAATTCATTGTGCAGAGTGGTAGATATCTATCTGAAATACATCTTAAGGTAAAGAAAATGTTAACTTTGAAACTGTCACTGCAAGTTACAATGTAACAGTGAGAAAATGTTTTTCTGTATAGTGCTTTTTAAATTTTTCTTTTTATGTATGTAAACGTTAATTTTTTATTTTGGAAATACTGACATCAGACTTGTGTTGTTACAGAGTTGAGTTTACTGTAGGTGACAAAGCTATCAACAAGTTTCGAATGATTGAACGGCATTTCTTCCGTGAAAAGCTATTGAAGACGTTTGATTTTGAATTTGGGTTTTGTATTCCTAACAGTAAGAATACTTGTGAACACATCTATGAATTTCCAACATTAAGTCCTGAATTATGTAGGTATATTTCTTTTACATGTAAAACTTGCACTTTTTATTGTAGTCTTTTTTCGTTCTATAAAACTTGAAGATAGCTCTTATATACGGAAACATCTGTTAGCTGAGTTCTTGCACAGATCTTAAAATATAACGTTGATAAACGGAAACAAGTTTTGAACAACTTGAATTTCAAGATCTACGCGAGCCTTCCATTTATCAACGTTATATTTTAAGATCTGTGAAAGAAGTCAGCTAACAGATGTTTCCGTATATCAAAGCTATCTGTAGTCTTTTTGTAAAAGTTATAATCATGATAACCTGTTTTAAGTAAATGCATTAAAAATTCCTGGAAATGAGTGTTTTTAGTATGCATTTAAGTTTTTGAAAAAAAAAAATCTCCATCAAAACCTTTCTGTAGTGACAAAAAAAAAAACTACAGAGAAGAGCACTTATAAATAAATTCAAAACTAAGGGAAAAGCAGCCGTAAAAGTGATTGGAGGCTAACGATTAATTTCCTGATAGTTTGCTCTTCAGTGGAATTTGAGCAGAACAGATGTGTATCTGTAGTCTTATTCCTGTTCTGTACTGGTACCTGTGAAATGCAGAAGGTCCTTATTGTATGCTGTGTATCACCCACAAATAGTTAGTTTTTAATGAGTTACATTAATTAATCTTTTATTTAATTGTCGTGAAGCCATATGTTGTCACACTAAATTGTCATATATTGCATATGTTTCAGAAATTATAAAGTTGAGATGCACTATATAATTCACTTAATCTTTACAAAATCATATATTATCATACTAAAACCTTATATCTTACACTTGTTTTAGTATATAGAATACTAGTGTTAGAATACATGTATATAATTGTATTTTTAGGTGTTCTGTGTATTAAACAATTATGAGTAATACACTTTTTTTCGTACAGGTGAAGAAATGATCAAGAATCCTTTTGACACTCGTTCTGACAGTTTCTATTTTGTGGATGACCAGCTCATCATGCATAATAAGGCTGACTATGCGTACAATGGTGGTATACAGCAGTAGGCTGCTATGTCTTAAGAGAACTTAACCATAATGCACTAAAATATTTTTTAATGTATTGTGGGCTCTTTAGGATACCCATGCTGGCACTTCAAATTCAGAATTTTCTCTTCACTTTACGTATTGGTTTCCACATTTCAATAGCCAATGTGAGCATTCTGTGGCTTTTCTTGTGCAATGCACTAAGCAAGTGATTGTAAATTGTTGCTGAAAAGTACAGTACTGAGTGAAAGTTGTTAAATTGTGAACAAAGTAGACAGTTAGTTTCACCCGCAACCAGTAAAAAAAGCAAGATTATATAAAACTTTGGACTGTCCACTGTCAAACTACACCATTACTATTCTTATGTTCAAGCATGTGATACTAGACGTCAGAAAATGAAACACAGGTAGAATAGGGTTTTGTGTGTATTGATGTTTAATTATTAGCAAAGTTAGTAGATCTCTACCTTAAATATTATTTGAAGTGTGCATATTTATTGTTCATTCTGTTGTTGAAGTTGATATTTACTTGAGAAAACTGAATGAATAGGTATGTCACCGTTGCTCTGTTTCTTCGTAATACTTCATGCTTTAAAAATACATCATTATTAGGTGAAAATAATAATTATTATCACTGACTTCCTGATGAGTTAATTCTATGAACTGTAGGGTGAAAGTTAAAGAATAATAGTTCCATATTTGTAATTTCAAGAAACATTTCTGATCATGATAACTTTTGTGAAACACAAATACGTTTTAGGTAGGATCATTCTGGACTCAGAATGAGGCTTCTTTATTAGTCCAGACTACTCAAACAAATTATTCTTAAAATTAAAAGAAATTACAGTGTTTTTCTGCCACCAGTTCTTGTCGAATAAAAAATTAGCATGCTTTGTGGTAGATGTATCTCATTGAAAAGACAGTTTGCAATTGATTTTAAAAGATGTATGATAATACTTTTTGAGGAAAAAATAGCTCACTTGTACTAAATGTGAAAGACTGCATATGAAATATTGTGGTAACTCGTGCATTACTGCATATGTAAATAAAAATACATATAAAACGTTTCTTAAGCTGAAGATACAGTTAACAATGGTATGTTTGCTCAGGTAGTAGTTTTAAATATAGTTTGATTGCAAATAGAATGTTTCTTTTATAAATCTTCATTTAAACTTGTATGTATAATGTTAATTAAAACTCTATAGCAGTGAGTGTAACTATGACATTTTATTTCTATAGCTTTTTGCAAATGTTTCTGGTTTGTTTGCGTGTTTTAGAGCAAAAGCCATGTCGGGCTATCTGCTATGTCCACCGCGGGAGAACGACCCCCGGATTTTAGCGTCGTAAGTCTGTAAACTTAGTACTGTTCCACCAGGGGGACATTTTATCTGGTGACCATGTTTTTCCTCCCACAAGTAAAAACTTTGCTGCAGCTAACATTCAAAGGGATAAGAATTTGTGCATTTCTTAAAAAATAAATTAAGTCGATACAGCCACAGATAAAGCTGATACTTATTTACTGGAAAGTTTGAAAGCAACATTGTTACCCATTTGTTTAAAAATGGGTAGAAGTTTCCGCTCCGGGCACAAGTTCTACAGGTGTCGGTATCATTATGTTATTTAATATGTGTTGTTCAAGAGAAATGTGCAATACATGTGGACCCAGTAATAATCAGGGTTACCAGCATTTTATAGTGACATGAATGTAATGACTGAAAAAAGTGTATTTTTTTTTTTTTTTTATTTAACCAGAAGGTACACAAAGAGGGAAAAATACTTTTCCCTTGTAGAAAGGTTGTGTGTAATTTGTACATGTAGTATTTATTTATGAATAATAGTTTTTGTGGCATTTTGATTATGCTGTAGATTTGTTTTTACATTTGAGAATGAGTTTTATATAATATTGATCTTTATTTTTTAACAGGACTGCACATGCACCTGGTGTCAAGTTAGTTAAACTGATCAAAATGTTTCAAGAAATATATTAAATACAACTGAAAGTAATGACTAAAAACACTGATTCTTACACAAATGAACTGGAAATGACTAGAGACAAAAACAGTATAAGGAAAAAATTAATCTTAATATAAATATTCAAAATGCCTACCTTGGCAGTCGATGCATTATTCAAATTACTGTGGGATAGAAGTATCTTTAAGATGGTTAATGTATTAAATAAAGTTGTTAAAAAATTTTGTATTAATTTTTCATGAGAATTGACCATTATTGGAATATACTTGGTGTTTCTGTGCTGTTTTACGAGTTTATGCTGAAGATAAGGACATTTGAAGGATGATAATTTGAGGGCACGTTATGCTGATATGTAGCTTCTTCTTAAGTCTTCAGCCTGAAGATATATATATATACTGATTCTAGGCAACAAAAAGAAGTGAAAATGAAGCTTATTTCAACAATTATATATATATATATAGTTCTGTCTAAAATTCTAGTTTATAGTAGATCACTGTTTAATAAGTCTTGCTGTGTTTTAAAAGAATATAGACTGATACATGACACAGATAGCCCTGGTGCTTTGTGTCATTAAACACTCACCACCAACCAAACAACCACAGAATAGCACTAATTTATATATGATAGCTGTTAGTGTTAAGTGAGACTGAAATCAGTGTTTTATTCATTACATTCATGTCATTTGAAAACTTGTAGTCTACTTACCTTTTTAGGAATCTATTTGTATACCTGTCTTTAGAACTTCTGCTCAAATTAGTTTTCATATGTGCACTGTTTTCTAAGATCATAAATTCGTGTTTATTCGTGCTTTTAGATTGAAGCTGTCATTGCCTCCAGGCTGACAGACTTTCCCCCCCTTCCCCTTTCTCGTTGAAGTTTTTATCTTTTATGATGTTTGAGAGTCATACCACTGTTGAATATGTTACACTGCTTTTGTGGTAAGTGTCATGTAATCATATTGTACTGTTTATGATTGTTACACACATTACTTTTGACTAGAAACTTCTCTTGATGTTCAAACAGATTCAGCAAAATTTAGAAGTTACTAAGGGTATTAAGAGTGTAGGTATGTGACTGTTAAATCTGATTCTTGTGTAATCCTTTTTTTGCTTTGGGAGGTTTTTATTATCTTGAGCTATAATGGTACTGACTGATGGAGACTAGTATTTAGGGATCTATCAATTTAACATATTTAAACTTACAGTTTCAAGAAGCTTTAAGTTATTTAGAGCAGTGGTGGGTAACTCGTGGTCTATGGGCTGCATGTAGCCTCCTTTGAGTCAACCCGAATCCTCTCTACATCCTGTTATCGGTTAGAGATGACATCAGAGTATGTCTATGTGCATGCATGCTAATAAAGCATACAGTTATCTTTTAATTGTTTCTTTATATACTGTACTTCTTAAAGTCATCAGAAGAAAGTAATCACTCTTAACTCTTAATATGTTTTATTTAAGCTTATTTACATTGAAATGTATCATTGTTGGCTTATAACTGATAAAGGGGGGGGGGGTGTCTTAAAGGATGTGATCCATGGATTAGATTGGGTTTCCCACCACTGATTTAGAGCATAGCCTTTATCTCCAAATAATCTGATCTGTTAACATTGTTAGAAAGTTAAAATAGTGAAGAGTTTTAATAAAGTGTAGAAGTCCACATTCATGTTGTACAGATGTAGCTATTAGTGGAAGATGTTAACGAAATGCTGGAATGTTTTCTGTAAATTTTGAATACACTGTAGTAGTTGTAATAAAACATGATTCACTGAAACAAAAAATAGATAATGGTGCTTTAAGGTTTTGAAGTTAATTTTGTTGTGATATCTGGTAGAGTAGCAAGAGGACGCCAGAAGGATATCTCAAAATTTCATCGTACAATTTTACCAGCTTAGCAAAAAAAAAGCAGCATTCAGAGTATAGGAATAGATATACCAGTACAGTGGAATACTGCTTTAACTGACCATAATTGCATGAAGGACATTTAGGCATGAGTTATCATGACATAGGCTATTGTCATGTCTGTGAATTTCAAATGAGATCCACAAGAATTTTATTATATTATTATAGTATACAGTGGGACTTTATTTGCCAATGTTGAAAATGCTACTGGGTGACACGTTATATTCAGCTATTCATTCTCTATTTATTCAGACATTTTTATTTGCTTTCAATGGATATTACACATTTTAATTTTAAACTTGATGGACATTTTGCTACAACAGAGTAATTTTAAATATTTAAAAATGTGGAAAATAACACACTAGAGAGAGATCTGTAAACCTGTATGCTGGTTATAACCACTTTGGAGCATAATCAGTTTGTATCATTGGTTCTTTTGCACCTATTTTAGCTGTTTTTTTTAAAGAATCATAGGAGCATAAAAACAAATCAGTGATGTTGATTTATTATGAAGGCAAGTTTTACATGTGTGTGCAGGCTAAATATGCCATGTCAGAACTTTTGTAATGTATTATTTATGTTTTTTGGGGGATGTCATAACACAGTTGATGAGTTTACAAAATTTACTTTCGTGTAAAACTGTTTTCTCAAACTGTATTTGTTAATGATTTTGTAAAAAAAAAAAATAATATCCACCATCATTCTCTTCTTCTTTTAGTGTATAAAATTTCAAAAGAAATTATACTGCTTAGAAGGGAAGATTTGCTGTTGTGTATGTATTCTTACAAGACTTCTAAATTGAGAATGGGGTAGATTTCAGTACAGTGAAGTTTAGAAGATGTTATGTAGACAGAACTTTATAAATAAGTAGAAGTACATTGTAATGACTTCTCCCGAGCACTTTAGAACGAAAATAGTTAGATGCTGTCTGATATGTTGAGGTAATATCTTCATTTGTCTGCTGCTTTCAGCTGAGGTGAATTTTTTAAAGGGGGGGGGTCCCAGTAAAAACACCAAAAAAAAATGTATATTGAGGTAACCAAACAGTTGAAGGAGTGGTTGCTTACCTAAAGAGCAAATTGCAAGAATATTATAAAACTTAAAAAGGACAGCCTTTGGTTTTTAGTTGCATTTAATAGCATACTGCTTCTAACTCCTTGTGTTAAAAAAAATAAAAAAATATGGCAATAAAAAGTGAAATAAAAGCAGCAGTATCTTAGCATAAATCTGTCATTACAATTCATTTCGGTCATTTAGAACGAGGAAGAAGCCCCCCTCTGAATAATGGAATTCAAAGAACTGTAACTTATAAGCACTTGTACCTTTCATTTTGTCTGAACTATTCAAATTGTGTGTACTGAAAATGAAAGTCTGAAACTGAATATACATATTTGTAATGGTGGTATATATTTTCGTTATTATCGACCCTCATCGGGAAGGAGATCTTTTTAATTTTTGTAATAATATAGATTTAAAAAAAAGAAGTGAAATTTGAATGATGAATGATCTAATATGGCTTGGCTGATACAGCTAACATTTATATATTGGATTTTTTTTTTTCACGATATCTTGTGACAAGACTAAAGGACTGTAAGAAAAATATTGAGCAGATCTGTCAGTTGAGTATTGTGTGTAACCATCTGTGAAAGATAATAGATTTGGAACATTATATAAAAGCTAGGTGCAGCTTTTTTTCTTTTTGTTCAGTGTAATAAGAATATTGGAAATAAAAACATAACATCTGCTGGATTCTCTTTTTCTCTGTACATATATTTCTTCCTCTGTCCTGTGATACATAATTTCACCCTAAAGTGATGTAAGTGTGGCTAGTTTTAGACAATGATGTGATGTTGTGTCATAGTGTGGGAGAGAGGTTATAACCAGAGTCCCATTAATATCCCACTTTTTGAAATTCATTGTGTTATTTCCTTTTAGAAAAGACGTAGAACAGTAAACTGTGCTTGAATTAAATATTCAGATGGACTTCAATTGCTGTGGTAAAAAAACAACAACAATTTTTTTGTTTATTAGACTCAGGGTTAATTACACTTTATAGGAACAATGCTACTAGTCCCATGCCACCCTTGAAATTACTTCCTTTATTGTCAAGCATGCTCAGTCTGATGGCGAAGTTTCTACACTTTTACCCTGCTCCATAATGTTTCTTGTAAAAAGTCTGAAAAAGATAAGATCATTCTTAGACCACACACCTTTACAAAATTCCACAGGCCCTCCAATATATATAGATATTAGCTTCTTATACCATGCATCTTGACAAACTTTCCACAGGCCCTCCAATATATATAGATATTAGCTTCTTATACCACGCATCTTGACAAACTTTCCACAGGCCCTCCAATATATATAGATATTAGCTTCTTATACCATGCATCTTGACAAACTTTCCACAGGCCCTCCAATATATGTAGATATTAGCTTCTTATACCACACATCTTGACAAACTTTCCATAGACCTTTCAAGATATGTGGATATTAGCTTCTTATACCACACATCTTGACAAACTTTCCATAGACCTTTCAAGATATGTGGATATTAGCTTCCAACACCACAAAGTTTGAAAGACTTTCCACTGCCCTTCCAATGTATGTGGATATTAGCTTTCAGTATGACACACCTTGACAAACTTTCCACAGACTCTCCAATATATATGTGAAAATAACTTCCAAGTTCACACAGTTTGATAACTTCTCCACAGAAACCACAATTTATGTGGATATTAGCTTCCAAGACAACACATCTTCACAAACTTTCCATAGTCTGTCATACCCTAGCCACTCTACAACACAGGATACATCCATTTTAGCTTTTCTTGAATGTTCTATCTCTGGCTGGGGACCCTACTTTCATTCTTATCCTGGACTATGATTCCAGTGATTTCAATGGGATGCGGGGTCAGAACCATCCAGTTTTTTCTTGATCATTGGATGTGCTCCTTCCACTTTTTGCCAGTTTGCGACATCTACTATCTAACTGGGTGAAGAGTATCCCTGGTACAGAAATGGTGTAGTCTCCCATGTGTGTTCCTCTCCCAATGGGGGTTCACACTCCTTGGGTGTTCTTTGGACCCTTTCAAAGGATGCTTATCTATATCCTTCGCACCTGTTCCTACACCTTTTCAATGTGGGATTCTAGCTATTATGTGAGAGGAGGTGTAGTACCGTATGGGAAGTTATTGTTTTCCTACACTGAAAATATATTTGTGATAGGTATTTACCTTCTCCCAAACTTCCCACCATTCCTCCCCACTTAATACTGATTATTACTTTCTGCCTAATCTAGAAGTGATGGTTAGGTAGAATCGAATAGAGGGAGTGACATGCATCAGGAGGATGTGTCACACTCGGATTGGAAATTGTCACATGATGATTTACATGCAAGATGCAGTGAACCATGTTGATCGTGATGTAGGTGGGAGTTTCAAGGCTTGTGGCATGCGAAAAAATTTTGCGTATGGAGGGCAGCACTGAACGAGAATAGCCATTATGTGATTGGAGGTATGTACTTATTAAATATATTTTCAGTGTAGGAAAATAATTAGTATGTGTACAGTCAAAACAATAGTAAGTAGAGAATTAAGTTATGTGTATGCTCAAAACAATAGTAAATAGAGAAGTTATGTGTACGGTCAAAACAATTGTAAGTAAAGAAATTGAGCACTATTTTTATGTTGCTGAGAAATATAAATTGCTCATATCAACTGTTAAAAAAAAAAGTAAATAAGATGCTGGTGTGCCTCTCCTTTCAAGTTATTTCTTGTTTATTAATGATTGTTGGATGTATGTAAGTAAAACTGTTATTTACTTGCAGATATAAAAATAGATATTTTTTTGCGCATGAAGATGTGTGGTTATGTGGAAAGTTGCCTGAGAAAATGAATTAGTATGTACGTATATATATATATATATATATTTGGGAGTGCATTGTGTGATGTACTTTGAACAGTAGCAGTCATAAAAACTAGAACTAGTGAAACCTTTATGATATTTTGTAAGTAGGTAGAATATATCAACGTGCTGTTGTGTATATTCAGTATTAATACATATTGAAAACATAACAACCCATAAAAATTAATCTAACAAAATGTACTCCAATAGAAATTGCAGGTTATCCTTTGCAATTTCAGGTATTTGGAGATAGTTAACATTTTGCTTCTGGAGCAATGAAAAGGTAATGTTAACTTTTGCTATTGATGAAAATTCCTGAAATTCCTGTATAAATGCAGAATCATTATATGGCTAAAAGAAATCTCAAAGCACCGTACGTAGGGAGTGTTTGCTTGCTTATTTGTAAAATTGTATTTGGTTGGTGTATTTTTTACTTTTTTACTATATCAGTAATTATGCTATACAAAGGTTTGCGTAATGTAATATAACATATTTCTTGTATTTCACATGTTAGGCTTTTTTTTTAAATAGGGCATATCATGTGTTTGTTAGCCCCCCCCCCAGTATCATAGCGGTATGTCTGCGGATTTACAACGCTAGAAACTGGGTTTCAATACCTGTAGTGGGCATAGCACAGATAGCCCATTGTGTAGCTTTGTGCATAACTTCAAAAACAAACAAATATATTTGTTTTCAGTGTAATAAGGTTTTATGAACAGCAAGATTGTCTATATTTGTTTTGACTGTGTTACTCCCAATACAATATACACACAATTATAAATACATAGGCTTTAGATATTAGAATTATACCGTATTTATATATATATATATATATGCAGAAAATATTTTAGTTTTCCTAAACAAATCTACTATAGTTGAGCCATTCAAACATTGTAAATAATTTCTGATAAGAATCCTGTTCTAGCTGTTACAAAATTCACTTTTTCTAAACAATTTGGCCCATAATGTACACAACTCGAGAGAATTTCTTTTTCTAGTTATCAAAATTTTGCTTGTTATTTTTCCTCTGTACGAATACGTTAAAAGATTCACTGATCAATGAAATACATTTAGAAACTGCAACAAGGTTCGCCTTTGGTTGGAAGACATTTTATCAAGAGTGAACATTAAATCCAATGAAACCATGGAAAATGTTGTTTTCATCCAATGAAATCATTGGAAAAGTAACGGGTGCAACAACAACAACAACAATAAAAGTTATTGGCTGAAAGCCAAGATGAAGAAGTAAAGTTTAGCGTGACGTAATTATTTTTTGTAGCGAACTTAACGACGTACAACCACGCGAAATGATCGCTTCTCAGTTGGCATTGATCTTATAAACAACGGGTCTTAAAAGGTTCCATTGTTGACCTTGAACTTTCAATATTCACATTGACGGTCTCCCTAATTCCCAATGATAACAATGTCGTAGAGCTCGTTCAGTGTGGCTGTGTTCTAGTACAGCCAGAACATTGTCAGTAAAAGATAGATTATGCAAGGCATAGATCCAAATCGCATTCTGGTGCCTGGAAATAGCTGCTGAAACGTAACACCTACGTATCAAATAATATAAAACAAAAATAGACGTAACAAGTCCCATCAAAGGTCGTATTTAACTTTATTACACGATTTAAATGATATATTAGTCTTGGGTTACACAATCATTAGTATGTTTAGAATACCGTTACCTGTTTTATTAACTTGATTAATCGTTATCATTAAAGTTTATATAATGTTTCTAACGTGTCTATTAAACTGTAAGGTTTGATAGTTTCCATCTAAGAACAAACAAGATATTTCAACACCGTAAGCATGCAGTGTACGTTTGTCGCTAGTGGAAATGGATCTTTTACCCTTGATCTTACGTTATTGATTACCTACTCCTGGAACTGGGTAGATGCAGCTCATATAAATGCTATGTAGTAGTCTTCTTTCTTTTTTCACATATGGCTTGTTCTGTACGACAGATGTTTTAGAAAAACCAATAAAAACACCTTCTATACGCAGTAGACCACCTCTTCCTGATTCATCTATCTCTGTGTTTTCGTCTGCGCGTGCTTCCCAGCGGAAATAACCACGTATAGTGACACAGAAAACTATGGATTAGTTCCATCCGTACCTCAATCATGGAAAGATTGATCAGATATTGGCTGAAGTTGAGCAATGAACCGCCAATCTTGCTTTGGAGACGAACCTGAGAACCCAAGACGTAATATAGTCATATAACTTTAGCCCTAGTTTAATCGTGTTGTTTTAGATTGTTAGAGGAAATATAGTTACATTCACGAAAGAAATAACGTTTTAATTTAAAATAAATATGCACACACATACAAAAGTTAATTAACAAGTCTTGGCAACGTCTGTACTCCGTCAGCTAATTAAATCTCCCCCCCCCCCAACCTACATATATACACACACACAGAAACTCGGCATTAAACCTACATCATGGGTTACATTAGTAATGTCTTTAATATTTCGCCACTGTTATTGATATATTGTCAGGAAAATTAATGGCTATTTAATAAAACACTGACGGGACGTTTGACTCTTTATTCAATTTTTAACCCAGTGTCAGATATAGAACTATAACGATATAAAAACAACCTGAGGACTTGATACAACACCTTTCCATGTCGGCCTTCCTCTATATAAAAATAGCCTGATGCCATGATACAACCCCTTTCTTTGTCGGCCTTCCTCCATATAAAAACAACCTGAGGACTTGATACAACACCTTACTATGTCGGCCTTCCTCTATATAAAAACAACCTGATGCCTTGATACAACCCCTTTCTATGTCGGCCTTCCTCAATATAATATAAAAAACAGCCTGATGCCTTGAT